TCCTGAGTTGTTGGTCCTCAGGGAGGGCTGAGTATTCCGCTGGACTGAGGCACACGGTGATTAATTTGGTTTGCTCCTCAGTGTCCAGGCCGTGTATGACAGACTGTCGGTAGATTTCATCAAAAAATGTATATGGGTCTGAGGTGGAATCAAAAGCTGTTACTTTTTTAGTAATGTCCACCAGCTGGATGGCTGGAATCGGTGCTGGTAAATGTAGTGCGATCATCAGCTGTGTGTCGCTGGGTGGACCACAGGAGTCATGGGCTGTGGTGTCGGCTGTGGGTCGGGGTATAGGTCAGGGTATGGATCGGGGGTGGGTGCTGGAGGCGTGGCCACCTGGGAGAAGGGTATGGGGGTCCCCGTCTGTGGGGCAGAGGTTTATTGGATATGTCAGTGCAGAGCCTCTTGCTATCTCCATGGAGAGATAGAACCCCAAAGGCACACATTATCCCATTCTGGGCAGTGACCTGTTTCTCCAGGGACAGGGACTGTAATTTGTTCTTGGCACTTCAAATGCTCCATGTTAGGATCTGATGCATATTCAATACAACACCTGGCTCGTACTGTTCCTGTCACAGTTTAAGGTACCTGGTTTATGGCTCAATTGTAGTGAGTGCCAACATCTCACATGTTCAGTTTTTATCCTGGCCTTTGCATGGAGCAACTGCACTCTTAACAACCAGCTCAGACTGAAAGTGCAAGATAGCAGGCAAGGTTGGCAATTTGAGTTTGGCGGACCTTAAGGGTCACTTCAGACCGAAGCCTCTCAACAGAGACACCAAATGTTGTCTAGAGCAGGATATCTCTAAGACCCTGTAGACTCCTCGACCAGTGTGCATGATATTAATTTACCTCAGGAAAGGAGTACACAGCAGGAGTCTGCAGTCAGTGAACCAGGTCTCAACATTATTTGACGACAATAAAGGTGAAGAGTTAAACTTTACATTTTTAACAACTCTATTGCTAACTATCCGATACTTTAGAAACTTGAAATACTTCCTAGATACTCATAACTTTGCTGGTCTGACAAATTGTTCAGTCCATTCCTCTCCTCACGGGTTGGTTCTCTCTCTATCTCTCTGGCCGGATGGTGAGCTGCTGCAGTCACATCCCGACGTGCCTCTAGGCAAACTGGGGAGTGGGGCGGGCTAAGTCCTGCTGGGCTGGGTTCTTATACCCTTCAGGTTACCTTGCAGAATTTTCCAAGGACTTGACTAATCAAAGATATCGAATTAACTGCTGGGAATAGTGATGTAATGGTAATGTCACTGGACTGGTAAATCCTGAGGCCCAGATGAATGCTTCAGGAAATGTGGGTTCAAATTCCACTACAGCATCTAGAGTAAGTTAAATTCAGTTAATGAACTGACTTTTACGGTGGCACACTGGTTAGCACTGCTGCCTCACAGCGCCAGGGACTTGGGATCGAGTTCACCCTCAGGTGACTGTCTGTGTGGAGTCTGCACATTCTCCCTGTGTCTGCGTGGTTTTCTGCTGGGTGCTTTGGTTTCCTCCCACAGTCTAAAGATGTGCAGATGAATTGACCATGCTAAGTTGCCCATAGAGTTCAGAGATGTGTAGTTTAGGTATAAGATAACAGTGTTGGAGCTGGAGGAACACAACAAGCCAGGCAGCATCAGAGGAGCAGGAAAGCTGACGTTTCGGGCCTGGACCCTTTTCCAGAAAAGGTTAGGTGTGTTTGCAGGGTTACAGGGAAATGGTAGGGGTGGGTCTGGGTGGGATGCTCTTCGAAGGGTCAGTGTGGGCTCATTGGGTGGAACGGCCTGTTTCCATACTGTAGGGATTCTGTGATAATTGGCTTTATCACCTTGAAATGCTGCTGATGGCTTGCTTAACAGTGATCCCTTTGATGCATCTGCTGTTGGGACCTGGATGTCTGATTTTATCCCAGAATATTCACCTGTTCTTTTGTCTTAATGAAGCATGTCTGCCCCATGCATCTAGTGTTGCTTGTTTGTCAGGAAAGGTTGAATTGCTGTTTCACACTTCTGATGTGTTCTGGTGGCTCTCAATTGGTTTCAATTGTCTGAGCTTGGATCTTGCAAGGACATGTCCCTAGGCAGTATTGTCTGTTGTGTCTGTCTTGGCTCAGGCAATCCGACCCCACCACCAAAGACATTTTTCCCTCCCCACCCTTATCTGCTTTCCGGAGGGACCACTCTCTCCATGACTCCCTTGTCCGCTCCACACACCCCTCCAGCCCCACCACACCCGGCACTTTTCGCTGCAACCGCAGGAAGTGCTACACCTGCCCCTACACCTCCCCTGCCACCCCCATCCCAGGCTCCAAGAAGACCTTCCACATCAAGCAGATGTTCACCTGCACATCTGCTAATGTGGTATACTGTATCTGCTGTTCCAGAGGCCAGGGGACTGCTTTGCGGAACACCTACGCTCGGTTCGCAACAAACAACTGCACCTCCCAGTTGCGAACCATTTCAACTCCCCCTCCCACTCCTTAGATGACATGTCCATCCTGGGCCTCCTGCAGTGCCACAACGATGCCACCCGAAGGTTGCAGGAACAGCACCTCGTATTTCGCTTGGGAACCCTGCAGCCCGATGGTATCAATGTGGACTTCACAAGCGTCAAAATCTCCCTTCCTCCAACCGCATCCCAAAACCAGCCCAGCTTGTCCCCACCTCCCTAACCTGTCCTTCTTCCCTCCTATCCCCTCCTCCCACCTCAAACCCCACCCCCATCTTCTACCTACTAGCCTCATCCCGCCCCCTTGACCTGTCCGTCCTCCCTGGACTGACCTATCCCCTCCCTAACTCCCCACCTACACTCACCTATACTGGCTCCAACCCCACCTGTTTGACCTGTCTGTCTCCTCTCCACCTATCCTCACCTTTATCCATCTTCTATCCACCTCCCCCTCTCTCCCTATTTATTTCAGAATCCCCCCCCCATTTCTGAAGAAGGGTCTAGGCTCAAAACGTCAGCTTTCCTGCTCCTCTGATGCTGCTTGGCCTGCTGTGTTCATCCAGCTCTACACCTTGTTATCTTGGCTCAGGCATTCCCAGCATACATCACTTTTTGGCCAGTTTTGATGCCCTGTTTATTTCAGTTGCTGTGCCTGTATTTCTGGCCTCCCTTCTTAATGATTTTTTTTCACTTGAGCAGTTGCACGCTGCTACACTTATAAAATCTCTGACTTATTAGTTAAAAGTTACAGCTTACAGCAACCGCTGAGGAAAAGGAATGACTTTCTTCAAGCTTGCATTGTTTTTGAATGCTGAGGAAAAAGAACAGCTCTGATGGTTTCTGCCTCAAACATTCACACTTATGAGCTTTTCAGCTACCTGTGAGCCAATTACATAATCATTGACAGACAGAAGGCCTTTGTTATCGATAAGCAGTCACAACTCCACAGATCAATCAACTATTTCATGCCAGCCAAATTCTCCTTCGTTTACACCTCTTGAGTCTAGCTTGTCTGAAACTAGACATTCCCAAATCTGCCTGCCCCACACCTCATTGCTTGAACAAATAGTAGTGTAAACCGCACTGGCAAAGTGCTGTAATGCTTTTCACAATCCTTGGTTTTTAAAGGAGTCCTTTTCCAACTTGGTTCATAATCAAAGATACAGGAAAATAAACTGATACAATCTTTATAACAAAATGGATGCTGAAAGGATGTTTCTGTTTGAGGAAGAGACAAGAACTAGAAGACAAGTTAAAAGTAATTAGTCTCCATTTAAGACATAGACTCATAGAGCCATATAGCGCGGAGACAACAGTTCAATCAGTCCGTGACCAATTATAATCCCCAAGTAAACTAGTCCCACCTGCCTGCGCTCGGCCCATATCCCTTTGAACATTTCTTATTCTTGTGAATTAGAAGGGTGGCACAGTGGTTCAGTGGTTAGCAGTGCTGCTGAGAGGCACGTTCTCCCAGTGTCTGTGTGGTTTTCATCCGGGTGCTCCAGTTTCCTCCCACAGTCCAAGATGTGCAGGCTAAGTGGATTGGCCATGTTAAATTGTCCAAAGTGTCCAGGGATGTGCAGGCTAGGTGGATTAGCCATGGGAATGCAGGTTTACAGGGATAGGGTGGGTCTGTGTTGAATGGTCTTTGGAGGGTCACTGTGGACTCGATGGGCAAAATGGCCTGTTTCCAAACTGTAGGGATTTTATGATTCCATGATAAATTATGTAAATGACTTTTAAATATTGTAACTGTACCCGCATCCACCACTACCGATGGATGTTCGTTACATACACGAACCACTCTGTGTTTAAGATAAAATTGTCCCTCATATCTTTTTTAAATCTCTTCTGGCTGATGTAGATAGATGCTTGATTAAAAAAGGAGTTTCATGGGGAGACAAAGTAGATTTGAGGCCACACCAGATCCGTGATCTTATCAAATGGGGGGCAGGTTCAAGGGGCTGAATAGCCTGCACCTGCTCCTAATTTGTATGTCTGCATGTATGTATGTTTGTACGGTACCTGAGTTATGTTTTTAGTAACAATATCTTTTACAACTGTCGTTTAAAGGCTGGTGCCCTTATTAAAATATACATTTAGCTCAAAATTATTGTAACTGAGAACACAGAAATCATATTTTCCAAATGTGCGCCTCAACTGCTCTCAGCACATTTTGATAGTTGTTGATGAACTGCCCATAATTTTTAATTCAAGTGGTCAGTAACTCATCAGCAACAAATAATGATTTTCTGATGGATGTTGATAGTGGACAAAGTTCGGTATTACAAGTACATATCCAGAAATCTGCATCAAAGCCATACAGAAAGCCACTTCCAAAAAGAAAGTCATTAAATACGAATGGGTTACTGTTGCTAAATATTCTGGAACAATAGAGGTTAGAATTTTAACATAGTGTGGGTAGTGGAAGAGGTTGCAGATGTACTATCAAACTTTTTGAACTGTCACCATTGCAAGTTTTCCCAGTATATATTTATTTCTAGTGTTAAATATATTTTGTTCAATAGTGTCTTTAATTTTTGTGCGAACAGCAATATAATGCCTCCATCACTGATCTGAAACAGCCAATGCTAGTCAGCCAGTTAAAAAGTAAAAATCGTTTCAAGGATATGGCCCCACGTCTGGCTCACCTCGTTCCAGAGTTCTGCTTCCTCACAGGTAACAAACAAAAGATTTCCAACCAAATAGTCATCCTTTACACATGTGCTGAGCACATACTTATTAAAGTTAATCTTGCATCTGAATTGAATTAACTTTATTGTCACATACTCAGATGAGAACAGTGTAAAGTTTACAAGTTACCACGTGCAGTGCCATCTTAAGTACAGAGGTACCAAGGTACAGATTCTTCAGTTCTTAGGAAAAAGTATTAGAAAATAAAGAAATAATAACTCCAGCATTGCAGATTGTAGGAATATATTAGAAAAAAGAGAAATAAAATGTTCATAACAACCGTCATTCCAACCCAGTCCAGATTGGCAGCTTGCCCCCGGTATGTACCGGGACTTGCCTCCAGACTGCACCAGGCTTCACCTCAAGGCCCAAGGCTAAGAGACTGCTCTGGAACCACCTAGAGACCGAAGTCCACACTGAGGCCATGCTCGGCTGAGAGACCATCACGCTGGGCCGGGAACAAAAACAGAAGTTGCTGGAAAAGCACAGCGGGTCTGGCAACATCTGTGAAGAAAAATATCAGCGTTAGTGTTTCGGGTCTAGTGACCAAGGAAGGATCACCGGACCCTAAACATTAACTCTGATTTTTTCTTCACAGATGCTGCCAGACCTGCTGAGCTTTTGCAGCAACTTCTGTTTTTTGTTCCTGATTTACAGCATCCGCAGTTCCATCAGTTCTTATTCTGCTAGGCCGGGAGGCTGCCACACTTGGATGGGAGACCCATGGGTTGCCCAGTTTTAACCTGATTTGCCTACCCTTGCCTTGGCCAACTGTTAATTTTCATAATCAAAAGACAGGCAAGATGAATCTTCTTTCTTTATTGTATAGGCAGCAGAAATTCAAGCTTTACTTTGAAGTGTAGCTGATTTTGCAACTTATCTATGGTGTATTTTAAACCTCAATAGACGTCTTAAAACACTTCAAAGGAAAATTATAAAACAAAATAGGGCTCCGCTCCTACCACATAAGTAAATATCAGGTCATGATAAGAGAGTGGTCAAAGAGGGTGCTTTTAAAAAATAACTTAAAGAAGGAAAATGAGGTAGAGAGGAAAAGAGGTGTAGGAAGGGAAGTCTAGAACTTGGGTGTTAGGCAAATGTTGCCATAATCAAAGGGTCTAGGCCCGAAACGTCAGCCTCTCTGCTCCTATGATGCTGCTTGGCCTGCTGTGTTCATCCAGCCCTGCACCTTGTTGTCTCAAAGTTGGGATTGCTCAGTTGGCCAGAAATAGAGGACTGCAGATGGTTAAGAGGGTGGAAAAGACAAGATACAAAGAAATGAGGACATGGAAAAATTTAGAAAGAAGGATGAGAATTGTAATATCAAAATATTGCTCAACAGGTAGTTGTGTGGGTCAGGAATGTCACAGTGGGGAACATGATTGGGATTTGGGTAAAATGGTTCAGTGTGGTTCTCGGCCAATTAAGGGATTCTCACCACTTGTTGTGGAGCATATTTACCGTGATTGATATTTTCAGAAAAACCTACCATGAAATGAAATTGAAACTGAGATTCATTTTCTTTGTAAAAATTACCATATCAATTCATTTTACTGTAATGTGTTGTCCATAGGCCTAAGCAGCCAGGCTCGCTCTGATTTTCAAATCATGAAGGATTTGGCTGCAGAAACACAGCTGTCTCCTCAAAAAAGACAGAAGAGGTTGCATGAACTAATAGATAATATTCAAAGGTAAACAGATAAATAGGACAAATCTTTAATTCTGTTTTTCAATGTAAATTTTGAAAAACAGCAGCCAGGTGGTATTTTGTGAATTAATTTGTTACTTTATATGTTAACATGGAAAGGGTGAGTTATATTAGTCCTAGGATTTGAACACTCCCATTTGAGGAACTGGACGCTTATAGCTGAGGCTTAGCACAGTTTAATATTGTGTAAAACCTTCTAATCATCCACAGTAAAAGTCTCAAATTCGCAGGAGAAGCTCCAAAATGCATGATTTGGTATTTTCTTAGCCCAGAAACAACTTCAAGATGATTTCCTTACAATTTCAACATGGTGACCTAATAATGATTTTACTTATAATTTTTATTCTTTGGGAAGGTAACTGAGTTTTCACCTAGTGATTCACAAGTGAACCATTGATCTGAAAAGTTAAACCTGTTTCTCTGTTCACAGATGTTGGCCTACTGAGTATTGCCAGCATTTTCTCTTTTTATTTCTATTCCTGCAAAACCAAAAGTGAAGTAATCTTTGCTGCAGCACTCATGGGCTCCAAGCCCAGAGTTCGTTGGCCGTGAGCACCTCAGCAGTCAGAGCAATATGTAAACAAAAACCAAAAGGACTGCAGATGCTGTAAATCAGGAATAAAAACAGAAGTTGCAAAAGCAGAAGAGTTGTGGGTGGGGGCCGGAATAGGATTGGAACAAGGAATGTTCCACATATCCCACGAAGAGACTGGCATAACTGGGGCCCATGCAGGTACCTATGGCCACCCTGCTGACCTGAAGAAAGTGAGAGGAGTTAAAATAGAAGTTGTTGAGGGTGAGGATGAGCTCGGCTAATTGGAGGAGTGTGGTGATGGGTGGGGACAGTTCAGGTCTTTGCTCCAGGAAGGAGCAGAGAGCCCTAAGACCCAGGAGGTGAGGAATGGACGTGTAACGGGATTGCATTGCCATGGTAAAGAGGAGGTGGCTGGAACCTGCAAGCTGGAAGTTTTGAAACCGTCATAAGGTGTCAGAGGAATCATGGATGTACGTGGGCAGGGATTGGACCGGGGGAGAAGACTGAGTCAAGGTAAGAAGAGATGAGTTCTGTGGAGCAGGAGCAGGCTGAAACAATGGGTCTGCCTAGACAGTCCTGTTTGTGGATTTTTGGAAGGAGGTAGGAGCGAGCTGTGCGGGGCTGGGGGACTCTCAGCTTGGAAGCAGTGGGGGGGAGGTCACCAGGTGAAATGAGATCAATTACCATGGTAGAAATAATGGCCTGATGTGTCGTGGTGGGGTCATGGGCCAGGTGAAGATAGGAGGAGGTATCTGAGAGCTGGCGCTCAGCCACTGCACTGTAGAGGTCAGTCTCCCAGACTACAACAGCATCACCCTTATTGGCAGGCTCAATAATAAAGTCAGGGTTTCATAGAATGCCTACAGTGTGGAAACAGGCCTGTCAACGCAACAATTCCACACCGCCCCATCCCCCTATAACCCACCTAATCTCCACATCCCTGAACACTACGGGCAATTTAGCATGGCCAATCCACCTAGCCTGCACATCTTTTGGACTGTGGGAGGAAACTGGAGCACCCGGAGGAAACCCACGCAGACACAGGGAGAATATGCAAACTCCACACAGACAGTTACCCAGCAGTGGAATCGAACCTGGGTCCCTGGCGCTGTGAGGCAGCAGTGCTAACCACTGAGCCACCATGTCGCCCCTCATTCACCATGCTAACAAGAAACTTTTTCTTTTCCTTTCAGGCATCAAGGCCCACAAAAAGATGCAACAGCTCAAAGATACCCATGGCTCTCTGGAACCTTCCTCTCCTCCCCTTCCCTCTGCCTCCATCCCCTCTCCCAACCCCACTTCCTGTCGGGTATTCACCATCCCTCCTAACTTTCTGCTGTCTGATGCTGAACGTTCTGTACTCAGCAGAGGTGAACTCTTCTTCCGCCGTCTTTGCCTCTGCCCATTTCTTTGGACAAGAGTCCTCTCCCCGTTCCACGGACACCTTCGCCTAGTTCCAACACTCTCCCTCCACCTGGACCTCTCCCTCTGGCCGTGGCTCAGCGCCAGCTCTCAAGTAACTCCTCCTATCTTCCCCTGGACTATGACCCCACCATGAAGCATCAGGCCATTGTATCTACCACGGTAACTGATCTCATTTCATCTGGTGACCTCTCCCCAACTGCTTCTATTTCCTTCCAAAAATCCACAAACATGACTATCCGGGCAGATCTATTGTTTCAGCCTGCTCCTGCCCCACAGAACTCATCTCTTCCTACATTGACTCAGTCTTCTCTCCCCTGGTCCAACCCCTGCCCACTACATCTGTGATTCTTCTAACGTCTTACGCCGGTTTCAAAACTTCCAGTTTTCAGGTTCCAGCCACCTCTTCTTTACCATGGACGTGCATTTCCTTTACACGTCCATTCTCCACCTCCTGGGTCTTAGGGCTCTCCGCTTCTTCCTGGAGCAAAGACCTGAACCGTCCCCACCCACCACCACACTCCTCCAATTAGCAGAGCTCATCCTCACCCTCAACAACTTCTATTTTAACTCCTCTCACTTTCTTCAGGTCAGCGGGGTGGCCATAGGTACCTGCATGGGCCCCAGTTATGCCAGTCTCTTCATGGGGTATGTGGAACATTCCTTGTTCCAGTTCTATTCTGGTCCCCACCCACAACTCTTTCTCCGATATATCGATGATGTCATCAGTGCTGCTTCCCTATCTTGTTCGAATTGGAAAAATTCATTGATTTCGCTTCCAATTTCCACCCTGCCCTTACTTCATCTGTTCTATCTCTGACTTCTCCCTTTCTTTCCTTAACATCTCTGTTTCCATTTCTGGAGATAGACTGGCCACTAATATCCACTATAAACCCACTGATTCCCACAGCTGCTTGGACTATACATCCTCACACCCTGCTTCCTGTAAAAACTCCATCTCATTCTCTCAGTTCCTTCATCTCTGTCACATATGTTCAGGTGAGGCCAAATTCGACAAGGGAGCCTCCAAAACGTCCACCTTCTTCCTCAACCGAGGGTACTCCAGCTCTATTGTTGACAGGGCCCTCAACTGGATCCGACCCATCTCCTGCACTTCTGCCCTCACCCCTTCCCTTCCCTACTGCAACAGCGATAGGTTCCCCCTGTCATTACCTACCATCCCACCAGCATCCACATCCAGAAGATCACCAGATGCCATTTCCGCCACCTCCAGTGAGATGCCACCACCAAACACATATTCCTCTCCCCTCCCTTGTCCAACTTCTGCAGGGACTGTTCCCTCCGGGACATCTTGGTCCACTCTTCGTTCACCCCCAACACCCCCTGACAGCCCCACAGCACCTTTCCTGCAACCAGCGAAGGTGCAACACCTGCCCATTTACCTCCTCCCTCCCCACTGTCCAAGGAACCAAACATACCTTTCAGGTGAAGCAACACTTCACCTGCACTTCCCAGAATCTAGTCTACTACATTCGCTGCTCGCAATGTGGTCTCCTCTACATTGGGGAAACGAAGTGTAGACTAGGTGACTGCTTAGCAGAACATCTATGTTCTGCTCACAAAAAGACCCTGAGCTACCTGTTGCCTGCCACTTTAACAAACCACCCTGTTCCCTGGCCAACACCTCTGTCTCTGGCGTGATGCAGTATTCCAGTGAAGCTCAGCATAAGCTGGAAGAACAACACCTCATTTTCCATTTGAGGACCCTGCAGCGCTCCGGACTCAATATCGAGTTCAATAATTTTAGGGCCTAAACTCTCCCACGTCCTCTCCCTCTACCCGTACTTAACTGGTCCCAGTGAAACTGTCCACTTAACCTGCTGTTCAGCCTCCAGCACCTCTCCATGTGGGGGACTGGCTGCAGTCCCAGTAGTAGCCTCTGCTTCTGGTGGTGCTGCTGGGCGTGGAAAGCTGCCAGCCTTCTGATTGGCACGCAGTGCACAGAGATGGGACATGCCCTCAAATGAAGATGGAACTAAAATCTGAGTCATCAATGGACTTGTCCACACCTTCCCAGTTCCACATAAGGTTTAAACCCATCAACTAAGTGGTCTAATGTGAAGGTGCAAACTGAATTATTATAGCACTGTATTATGTGAGTAGTGGGTATGAGTAGAGCAGACTAGTTTGGGAAATGCAGTAGTTAACGCTGGACTAATATAGAGTCATAGAGCTGTACAGCATGGAAACAGACCTTTCGGTCCAACTCGGCCATGTCGACCAGGTATCCTAAATTAATCTGGCCCCATTTGCTAGCATTTGGCCCATATGCTTCTAAACCCTTCCTATTCATACACCCATCCAGACGTCTTTTAATGTTGTAATTGTACCAGCCGCCACCATTTCCTATGGCAGCTCATTTCATACACACACCACCCTCTGTGTGAAGAAGTTCCCCCTTAGGTCCCTTTAAAATTTTCCCCTCTCACCTTAAGCCTATGCTCTCTAGTCTTGGACTCCTCTACCCTGGGGTAAACCCTATCTATGTCCCTCATGATTTTATAAACTTCTCTAAGGCCACCCCTCAGCCTCTGATACTCAAGGGAAAAATAGCCTCAGCCTATTCAGCCTCTCCCTATAGCTCCAACTCTGGCAGCATCCTTGTAAATCTTTTCTGAACCTTGTCAAGTTTCACAACATCCTTCCTATAGCAGAGAGACCAGAATTGAATGCAGTATTCCAAAAGTGGCCTAACTAATGTCCTCTACAGCCTCAACATAACCTCCAAACTCCTATACTCAATGCACTGACCAATAATGGCAAGCATACCAAACACCTTCTTCACTATCCTGTCTAAGTTGGTAAGGAAAAGACCGGGAACTATAGAACATTGAGCCTGACATCAAGTGGTGTCAGGGATCCTGAGGAACAGGATTTACATGTATTAAAATGATTAGGGATAGTCAACATGGCTTTGTGTGTGGGAAATCATGTCTCACTAACTTATTTGAGTTTTTTGAAGTAACGAAGAGGATTGATGAAGGCAGAGTGGTGGCTGTGATCTAGTTGGACTTCAGTAAGGCGTTCAAAAAGGTTCTGCATGGTAGACTGGTTAGTAAGGTTAGATCAGATGAATACAAGGAGAACTAGCCATTTGGATACAGAACTAGCTCAAAGGTAGGAGACAGAGGGTAGTGGTGGAGGGTTGCTTTTCAGACTGAAGGCCTGTGACCAGTGGTTTGTCAAAGGGATCAGTGCTGGATCCACTGCTTTTTGTCATTAATATAAATGATTTGGATGTGAGTATGGAAGGTATGGTTAGTAAATTTGCAGCTGACACCAAAATTGGTGGTGTAGTGGACAGCCAAGAAGGTTACCTCAGAGCACAACGGGAGTTTGATCAGATTGGCTGGTAGATTGAGGAGTGGCAGGTGGTGTTTAATTTAGATAAATGTGAAGTGCTGCATTTTGGAAGGGCAGATCAGCTAAGGTCCTGAGGAGTGTTGCTGAATAAAGAGACCTTGGAGTGCAGGTTCATAGTTCCTTGAAAATAGAGTCGCAGGTAGACAGGATAGTGAAGAAGGTGTTTGGTTTGCTTGCCTTTATTGGTCAGCGCAATGAGTTTAGGAGTTGGGAGGTCATGTTGAGGCTGTAAAGGACATTGGTTCGGCCACTTTTGGAATAGTGTTCATTTCTGGTCTCTCTATAGGAAGGATTTTGTGAAACTTGAAATGGTTCAGAAAAGCTTTACAAGGATGTTGCCAGGGTTGGAGGTTTTGAGCTATAGGGAGAGGCTGAATAGGCTGAGGCTATTTTCCCTGCAGTATTGGAGGCTGAGGGGTGATTTTATAGATTATAAAATCACGAGGGACATAGATAGGCTTAAGGTCTTTTTTCCAAGGTAGCAGAGTCCAAAACTAGAGGGCATACGTTTAAGGTGAGAGGAGAAAGATTTAAAAGGGACCTGAGAAGCAACATTTTCATGCAGAGGGTGGTGCGTAAATGGAATGAGCTGCCATAGGAAAGGTGGAAGCTGGTACAGTTACAATATTAAAAGGCATCTGGTTGCATATACGAATTGGAAGGTTCAGAGGGATATGGGCCAAATGCTGGCAAATGGGACTAGATTAATTTAGGATATCTGGTCGATATGGACGAGTTGGACCGAAGGGTCTCTTTCCATGATGTACAGCTCTATCATCTGTGAATCTACTTTCAAGAACTATGAACCTGAACTCCAAGGCCTCTTTTCTTCAACAACACTCCCCAGGACCTTACCATTAATTGTATAAGTCCTGCCCTGATTTGCCTTTCCAAAATGCAGCATCTCACATTTAGATAAATTAAACTCCATCTGCCGCTCTTCGGCCCACCGGTCCATTTGATCAAGGTCCCGTTGTGCTGTGAGGTAAACTTCTTGGCTGTCCACTATACCACAAATTTTGATGTCATCTGCAGACTCACTGACCATACTTCCTATGTTCATATCCAAATCATTTATATTAATGATGAGACTAAGAGATGGCCACCAGGTCATTCTGTCTGAGATCCTGCCTCAGTTTCCACCCTTTCCAATGTTCCCAAGGGTGGAGGACAGCATGGATCACAGAACTCAATTAAACTGATTGTAGGCTTGTTAAAAGCTGGTCTCTGGCAACTTTGCAGTCAGAATTCAGCAATTGTCTATGTCAGAGGTCATGTTTGGGCAAGTCATGGAGGTGGGTAGAGTTTGAAAAATCAAAAATAAATGCTTTTCAGAGTTTAAAGAGTTTATCCTTTGAAAGCTAAATTTGCAGCAGCACATCATAAATCAGGGGAAGAAACAGAGTTAAGAGCTCTGCCATTTCAGGGGATCCTCACCCTTCTACCATCACAAGGCATTGAGAGGACATCGGAGCACTGGGCAAGGATGCTTGGACTCATTTGTAGCAGCAGAAAAGTTATAGCTGGAAGTAGATGTTTTACTCCAGAAATGGAAATTATTAGAGATGAGGAGCAGCAGCTTAGAGAGGAAAGAGTGCACTCGACATTAGAAGGCCAGAGGAGAAGGACAAAGGGGATGAAGGAAAAGGAGACACTACCTGATTTGAGGGGGAAAGATCTATAGATACTTGAGAACTAGTGCCGAAGGCAATTGCAACATTCAAGGAAGATGATCATAGATATCTGTATCTTTGCCAGCTGTGAATTGCTGCAGCTTCTCACAGGCAATTGCACACTGGTACATCACCCAGATAATAGATGATGCCTTGACTGAGGATAAGGTGGCCTCTTCCCGACACCTTCCAGGAGGAAGATATTGTTGCTATCCCTTGCTCATGACAGGTCTGTGGTTCCACTGTGGCAACTCAGATCCCCATGTGGCACACTGCCACAAATATCCTTCCTCGGGACAGACCTTTGTTATGGCTGCTTTGGGTATGTGAAAACTTCCTCCATTCCTGCCTTAATAAGCTGTAATTGGATAGGACATGTAACTCCAATCAATTAAAGGGATTATACTTAGGAAAATCTGAAACTGTGCTTTGCTGAAGGTACATTGCTGAAATAAAAACAAGCTGATTCCTGTTTCCCATCTTGGCACTGTGTCTATTTAATAGCAGAAGTACAATAAAAGCATGACATTCTGTGTCTTTTTACAGAAATAAAGTAACACGGACTGAGTTGGAAGGTTGGGGCTTACGCCTTGATGAGCAGATCTCATTGGTAGGCCGTGTCCTTCCTCCTGAGAAAATTCAAATGTTTGATCATTCAGTGAGTATTCATCTGTTGTTAACATAAGTTGTGCATTTAAATCAGAATTTCAGTGGATTATTCAATTTGTACAAAATGTAATATTGCATGTAACAATCATATTTTACTTTGAAATACTGCAGTCCTGTACATTCTCTAAAGAACATCTTTAATATTTGCATTATACGTCAAAAGCATTAAGACAAGAGAGTTGAAATTACCATTTGAGATGTTATCCGACGTTTGCTTAGGGCACTCAACTTAAATTCCAATCTTCACTATTATGATATTGACTGTGGTTGAGCGACCACGGGCCCAAAATTGGTATTCTAAATTGACCCACATCTGGAGAAATTGGGACTGATGGAAAATGGGCCAAATTAAACAGCACACAGCAGCTCTTGGCTACAGAGAACAGTGGAAAGTAAGGTCAAAGAGGTTATGCATTGGAGAAGTGTCGATCAAACTTTCTGATGCTATGACTGCTTGAGGGCGAGCATTTTACATCCCCGCGACATGGCAACATTTGAGAAATGCTCACATGGCGTTTTCATAGAATCCCTACAGTGTGGAAACAGGCCCTTCGGCCCAACAAGTCCACACCAAACCTCAGAGCATCCCACCCAGACCCATCCCCCTATAACTGACCTAATCTACACCTCCCTGAACACTACGGGCAATTTAGCATGGCCAATCCACCTACCCTGCACATCTTTGGACCGTGGGAGGAAACCAAAGCACCCGGAGGAAACCCACGCAGACACAGGAAGAATGTGCAAATTCCACACAGACAGTCACCCGAGGCTGGAATCAAACCCGGGTCCCTGGTGCTGTGAGGCAGTAGTGCTAACCACTGTGCCATCGTGCCGCGTTATTTTTTCCTTTATTCTTTCATGGGATAGGATGTGCTGGCCTGGCAGCATTTATCAACCATCCCTAATTGCCCAGTTGGCAGTTAAGAGTCAGCCACATTGCTGTGGGTTTGGAGTCACATGTAGGCCAGACCAGGTACGGATGGCAGTTCCTTCCCTAAAGGACATTAGCGGACCAGGTGGGTTTTTCCTAACAATTGACAATGGATTCATGGTTATCATTAGATTCTTAATTCCAGATTTTTTAAATTGAATTCAAATTTCACCATCTGCCATGGCAGGATTTGAACCCAGGTCCCCAGAACATTATCTGGGTCTTTGGATTAACAGTCTAATCACAAGAAATGGGAGTATTTTGTTGATAAAATCAAGTTGAATTGCTAACTGAATTCTGTATCGTTTTGTCCACCTCACTGACAAGAGCACATGAGTAAAGTGTTTTTTCAACTGAACAAAATGTTCAAAGTATGGACAATATTTCTAAAGGGTGATAATCACTGAACTATTGCCCAAGCAATGTATAAATTGAAATAGAGGCATGAAGTTCAGATGAATTAGCACATGGCTTATCTGTATCAATGATTTGAATGAGAATGTACAAGGCATGATTAGTAAGTTTGCAAATGACACTAGAATGAGGGTATCATGGACAGCAAGGAAGGTTATCAGAAATTGCAGCAGGATCTTGATCAGCGGGGGAAGTGTGCCGAGAAGTAGCAAATGGATTTTAATATAGGTAAGTGTGAGGTGTTGCATTTTGGAAAGTCAAATCAAGATAGGAGTTTCATGGTGAATGGTAGGGCCTTAAGGAGTGTAGTGGAAAAGAGGGACCTTGGAGTTCAGGTGCACAGTTTTCTGAAAGTGGAGTCACAGATAGACAGGGCAGTGAAGATGGCTTTTAGCACACTGACCCTCATCAGTCAGGGCATTGAGTGTAGAAGTTGGGAAGTTATATTACAGTTGTACAGGACGTTGGTGAAGCCACACTTGGAGTATTGTGTTCAGTTTTGGTCACCTTGCTATAGGGAGGATGTTATTAATTGGAAAAAGTGCAGAAGAAATTTGCAAGGATATTGCCAGGACTCAAGGGGACTGAGTTATAGGGAGAGGTTGGACAAGTTAGGACTTCTTTCTTCAGAGTGTAGGAGACTGAGGGAGGGTCTTATAGAAGTGTATAAGATCATGAGAGGCATGGATAGGGTGAATGCACTCAGTCTTTTCCCCAGGGTCGGGGAGTTGAGGACTAGAGGGCATCAGTTTAAGGTAAGAGGAGAAAGAATACATGGGAACCTGAGGGGGTCAACTTTTTTATACAGTATCATTGAACCAAAAGGGCCACATGTACAAGTTAGTAGTTAACATTTTAAATAAAACTGTTTTGGGAAGACTCTCATGCTACTATATGCAATCAATGGGCATGCACAAACCAGGTAAGTGAAACAAGTATCAAATCAAATGGGACATGATTAGAGCTCTGCTGCAACCCCTAGTATATATTCACCACACACATGCTTTAACAGAATGGACCCATGTGGGCTGTTCAGATAGCAGCCTAACACAGTGTGGAGGTGGAGGAACATAGCAGGCAGCATCAGAGGAGCAGGAAAGTTGACGTTTTGGGTCGGGACACTGCTGTGTTCCTCCAGCTCCACACTACATTGTCTCTGACTCCAGCATCTGCAGTTCTTGCTATCTCTCCGATAGTAGCTTGCCATTTTAGATCTTCACAGCACCAACAGCGCTACCAAGCTTAATTTTGCCAGAAAAGACTATTATCCCCTGATGGAGAAGTGCATAACTAGAGGCCTTCAATATAAGTTAATCACCAATCTTTACTCTGGTTTGAAAATGTGGAACTCATTACAGTAAGTCTCCGCTAAAAGTTGATTCATTTAATATGGTTTTTCGTTTTCATGTTATAAATAAATTAGCATCAGTATCATTATTTAACAGTGTCAGTTTCACCTTAATGTCATTTGCAGAATTCCCATTCTGTGGTCTGCCTGCCCAGATGACCTCTTGCCCCATCACATCCATTATAGTCCTCCATCGCTCTACAACCCCTTGCTTCCTGCCCTGGCTCCTGCTTTGACAACCCCAGTGCACACTCCAGCCTCACCTAACCCCAGGCCTTATTCCTTGATCTTGCTTCTTCTCCAGCCCTGGCCCCTTGAACCTTGCCTCTCTCCTAGCCCAGGTTTTGTCCTTGCCCCTTGTCCTGTCCAACCCTCAATCTTGTCTCTCACCCTCTCTTCTTAACTTAAGTCCTGACTTCGTTCATTTTTGAATTTACTCAATCTAGATTGGGCTCAATCCAGTGGCAGAGTTTAGACAGTTCAAGGACTCCAACTGATAGCCACATTGACTAATTTCTATCACTAGATGGAGCCTGGGCAATCTAAAAATACACATGTGTACGTTGAGCAATTGTTTTATTTGTACTGTGAGCTGTAACTATTGTATTTCTTTTACTATATATTTAGTGATGTATTTTTTATTGCAAGTTACTCCAGCTGGAATGGACAGTGCTACACATATTTGGTACCTATTTTCTGAGCGAGTAATGTCCAAGGAGCCTAACTCTGGATGGGAACTGGAGCTACGGATCAGAGATGGGGTAGCTGGTGTACAGGCAGGTACAGCATGCAGAGAGTCTGTGAGGAAGGACAGACAGTTGATAGGGCAAAGTTGCAGTCAGTGCAATGGGCTGAAGTGTGTCTCTTTGAACATAACAAGTGTCAGGAATAAGGGTGACAAACTTAGAGCATGGATCAGTACTTGGAGCTACAATGTTGTGGACATTACGGAAACTTGGATAACACAGGGGCAGGAATGGTTGTTGGATGTTCCGGGATTTAGATGTTTCAAAAGAATTAGGGAGGGAGGTAAAAGAGGTGGGGGAGTGGCACTGCTAATCAGGGATGGTATCACAGCTGCAGAAAGGAAGGTCGTCGAGGAGGGTTTGTCTACTGAGTCAGTATGGGTGGAAGTCCAAAACAGGAAAGGAGCAGTCACTTTATGGGGAGTTTTCTATCGACCCCCCCGCAGTGGCAACAGAGACACTGAGGAACAGATTGGGAGGCAGATTTTGGACAGGTGCAGAAGTAATAGGGTTGTTGTCATGGGTGACTTCAACTTCCTAAATATCGACTTGAACTTCCTAAGTGCAAATCGTTTGGATGGAGCAGATTTTGCCATATGTGTCCAGGAAGGATTTCTGACTCAGTATGTAGATAGGCCAACTAGAGGGGGGTCATATTAGATTTAGTGCTTGGCAACGAACCAGGCCAGGTGTCGCATCTCTCAGTGGGAGAACATTTCGGTGATAATGATCACAACTCCCTGACCTTTACTGTAGTCATGGAGAGGGATAGGAGCAGACAGTATGGGAAAGTATTTAATTGAAGGGAAATTACAATGCTATTAGGTAAGAACTGCAGAGCATAAATTAGGAACAGATGTTCTCAGGGAAATGCATGACAGGTATACGGAGGTTGTTTAGGGAGGACTTGCTACGAGTACTGGAGAGGTTTGTCCCAAGGAAGGGATGGTAAGGTGAAGGAATCTTGGATGACAAGACTTGTGGAACATCTAGTCAAGAGGAAGAAGGAAGCTTACTTAAGGTTGAGGAAGCAAGGATCGGACAGGGTACTAGAGGGCTACCAGGCAGCCAGGAAGGAACTGAAGAATGGACTTAGGAGAGCTAGCAGGGCGTATGAAAAAGCCTTGGCGGATAGGATTAAGGAAAACACCAAGGCGTTCTATACTTACGTGAGGAACAAGAGGATGGCCAGTATGAGGGTAGGGCCGATCAGGGATAGTGGAAGGAAATTGCGTCTGGAGTCGAAAAAGGTAGGGGAGGTCCTTAATGAATACTTTGCTTCGGGATTAACCAGTGAGAGAGACCTTGTCGTTTGTGAGGACAGCATGAAACAGGCAGATATGCTCGAACAAGTTGATGTTAGGAAGGAGGATATGCTAGAAATTTTGAAAAACATGAGGATAGATAAGTCCCCTGGGCCAGACGGGATATACCCAAAGTTACTACGGGAAGTGAGGGAAGAGATTACTGTGCCTTTGGCGATGATCTTTGCATCCTCACTGTCCACTGGAGTAGTACCAGATGATTGCAGGGTGGCAATTGTTATT